CAGAGAGAGGCTGATGTCATCACTAGGAAGCAAACATCATTCATGCTCATGGGAAAGGGATGTTGGGTTATTCAGGGTGCTTGCACAGATGTTTTATTTTTGTCTGTGCAGTCTGGTCTTGCTTTTGCTTTGTTCTGTCACAGTGACCCTGCGTGATGTTGTGCACAACCTGAAAACCTGCAACGGTCACAGCTTGACATATATTACTGGTAAGTCACGACAGCTTTAGCCAGAAGTGTTTTTAGATTCATATCCCACCCCCCGCCCCACCAGGAAAATTCAAGATTCTCTCAAAATCTGTGTTAATTTATGGAGTCACCAAAAACTTTATCACATACTCTCCGCATGCCCCCATCTCGTTATCATGCTGAAATCCTGTAAGTGACAGATGCATAAAAACACACCCTAGCCAGGTATGGTGGCTCGTGCCTGTGATCCTAGCACTTTGGGAGGCTGAGGCAGGAGGATCGCTTGAATCCAGGAGCTGGAGGTTGCAGTGAGCTATGACGACGCCACTGCACTCCAGCCTGGGCAACAGAACAAGACCCTGTCTCAAAATCAAAACCCATAAAAACGCACCCTAGTGAATTATATTTCATTCTTACGTAGGGCCTTCCTCCCAAAAACATCACACTTTTTCAGTTCTTCTAGAAAACCTTAAGGTGTGTGAAGTGAGAAGGCCACGACTCACCAAAACGGCTGGAGATGAAGGCCTCCCGAAGCCTAGGAGGGAGAGGTTTGGGGACATCAGCACAGCTTCCTGTCAGGGCTGGGCCCTCGAGGCCAGCTGACGGCTTAAAGGTGCCCACCCCAGGCAGGCTTAAAGGTCGGCCTCGAGGGCCGAGGTCCACTCAGCGCATCAGAAGTGGGCCCCTGGGCGGCCTCCTCACTGCTCCTGGCTCAGGGGGCCGTTCCCACCCGAGCCCCTCAGCATCCTACTCAGCCTTTGCTTTCCAAGACCACTCGGTGTTCCTGACTTTCCCTAGAACCGGCCGTCGCCCTGACCGAGATGCAGCACGAGCCGCTCCTCGCTCACTCTGCTCAGGGCCCGGCCATCCTGCCGTGCCCTGAACACCAACCTGGTCACCACGGCACCTGCATGTGACAGGCCCACTGTCTCTGATGCTGTTCCACCAAGTGGCCACAGCTTGTTCCTTCACTCTCTCTCTGGTCAGATGTCACCTCCTTGGTCCCCCAAGACCCCTGAGGACCCCATCTGGGAGGGGACTCCACATACCCATTTTCTTGTTCTGCACAGACAGAACCCAGCACCTCACCGCAGCTCTTTCTTGGTCCGTGACTGACTCGCGACTTGGATCTAAAAGTCACAAAAGGGACTGTGTTCTGTGGCCACATGCCCAGCATCTGGGCACACAGCAGGCACCAGGACCCATGTGTCGAATGGCTGTGTGTCTGTTCGCTTGCCGACCTGACAGGTGGATGTGACCCATTCTCCTACCACCTTGCGGATGCCCCACGCGCCAATTCCAGGCGACGCGGCCCGAGCTCCCCACACACTGGTCACACGGGGCTCGCGCCCCCTCCATCAGGAGCCCCGCGGATCAGATCAGTGCCACCTGCTCCACCACCCACCACCAGTCCCTGCTCCAGGACATCATCATCTGGGCATCTCACGAACCACCAGTGCCCGGCCACGGCAGGGGCTTGGCGCACATGAGGGAAGGGAAGCCGAGACGCCACCGAGGAAGGCCGACAGCAAGGCTGGGCTCTCGGCCAGCACTTTCTCCAGCCCCTTTAACAGACGAGGCCATGTCAATGCTGCACTCAGATTCCCGAAGTCCTGGGAAAGCTTCCTTCCTGCTCAAAACCGAGGAACTGCTCTAGCAGGGGGTATAGCCTGGGGCTAAAAGGCTGCCGGCTTCTCAGACGCTTCCACATACTGCTTGACAGAGGCATCAGCGTATCCAGGTGCCGTGTCCCTGTGAGGTCACAAGTCCCACCTCTTCCCCCAAGACACTGGCCTTCCTGACGTCATTCATTCAATAAAGGCCGGGCG